ACAATAGAATGAAATTGGGCCTAGCCGATACATCATGTCCAAAAGTGAAATACATGAAATAAACTAAAACAATAACTCCGTTCTCGAAGCATGAGGACTCACAAAGGCTCAAAAAATCATGAACTCAACTACTAGCCACTATACTCAGAAACCTGTCTGTCAGAGCCTACATTTGAGAAAAATGTAGGTAAGAGTATGCGCTAGTACAAAATAATGTACCAAGTATGATAGTCATGCACAAAACATTTAAAACATGCTAAAAAGGGACATTTCATTTCGTGACATGTATTTGACCAAACTAAACATCATATGAAAGAGTTATAAAACATAAGTCATAAATCACAGTCAATGCAAGCTAACTTCATCTTTAAAATCATTGAACTCATGTGAGATATTTATTGAAGTAACCTTAGTTCATTATTATTTGTGGGAAAATTAGTCTTAACCGACATAGAGACCATGTGAGCTATAACATGATCTCCCGGTGTCTCCCATACCGAAAAGGGTTGTTCTACTTGCCAAGGTAGAACCATGAACTTGTAGCTTTAGTGGATCCACTAGCTAATCTACCTATGGGGGCACATAGTTAAGAAATAAGGGGATTTCTATTAGAAGCACGGTCTCTACTATGTGGGAGCTTTCATCTCATCAGATTTCTTCTACAAACCCGACCTCTACTACGGAAGAGCTTCCAGCCCATCATCAATATCCACTTAGTGTTAAGAATAAATCCCACGGAATAGTCATTTCTTACTTGACCTCATTTCTCATGAAAAGGTGTCCTTGGACAACCAATGCAAGCTAGTTCATTAGGATAGCTCTTGGTTTTTGATTCATTTAGGTGAGAAAGTCTTTCAACCTAAGAATCCTTTCTATGTGAGAAAACCCTTCACATCATGTTAGCTATGTTTATGAGAATGTCCTTTCAACAACACAATAACAACATCATCATTGATACTTTACTCTCAAAGCATCCTTAAAACAATTGCATAGATTTCATAAGAAAATGCATAAGTCCATAATTTACCTCTTGAGGCTCAAAACCTACTTTCAATCATACATGCTTAGAAAACATGGGTTAGACATGGATTTCATCATAAATACATGTAAATCTTGCAATACATGCTAAATTTTCATAAAACACTTTATTTATACTCGAAATCCTTCATCATATGATTCACAACGTGAAAACATAGGGATTACATAGGTTCATGGGGAAATCATCATAAAATCATCATGTATCATCAATTCATACATAAGAGATCATACTTCAATCAATTAAATCAACAATAAAAAGAACCCATGGTGATTAAAGAAAACCCTATCTCAATTTCAGGAATTCTACCTTTAGAAATAGAGGATTAGGAAACCCCATGGATTAAAGGAATCCATGGATGAAAGCTACCATACCTTGAAACCAAAAGTGAGCCTTCAGTAGAGAAATTGAGACCTTAGCTTGAAACCCTAGATGAATCCTTCTTCTTCTTCAAGCTTTTCAAGTTTTTAGAGAGATAATCATTTGAGAGCTATTCTTTTTGGTGAGTTTAGAGAGTACGTTTTCTATTGGGAAATTTAGGGGTAAAAAAGGCTTATAAAGGGGTTCTAAACATAGGCAAAACGACATAGTATAGCAACTAATTAATTAGGAAAAGACCCAACTTACCCTGAACTTAACTCTAGGTGACCATCGATGGACAGTAGTCGACGAATCGTGGTTTGACTACCTGCCCGTCCTTGTGGACCATCGTTCATGGTCAGAAAGGTAGATTTGGGGCCTCAAACCACGAACCCCAACCACAGAACGTGGTGTGACCAACGGTCCGTGGGTCATGTCGTGGTCCTGAGCCTATAGACCATCCTGGGCAGGACCTTCCATGGACCACACCTACGGTCCGTGGTCACATCCATGGGCCGTGGGTAGCCCTGGTTGCTGGCACTTGCAGTTTCCCAAAATCTGGTTTTACTTCCCTTTTTCAGATATGGGGTCTTACACCTAGCTAAAGGCATGCTCATAACATCAAATCATAGTCTACATGCAATTCATACTCATATGCACATAAATATGTAGAAATCAATCAAATTGACTCTTTTTCTCTAAACTTGAAGTTTTCATAAATCATGCATGATATACCGTGAGTTTACGGTATTTCTGATGCACTTCAATTAGAGTTTGTGCGCGTCTTGGGCTATTTTGTTATTAAGAATAATGTTTTATGTGTAATTCTTGCAAGAAATAGGATTGGATGTGGTTGATGAAGATGCGAGTTGAAAAGTGCAGAAGTAGCCACCAACGGAGCCACTCACGGACCGTAGGTCCAACGACGGGCTATGTATGGGTAGTCGTAAGTCCTGGTCTGGGAGTTGAGTTTTAATATGTAGTAAATGGAGTGCCAGGATTAGGGACCGTAGGTGATGCATCATAGGTGGAAGATTAGGGAAGCCTGACCAACTGTGGAACGACGCAGCAGACGACGAACCATAAGTCAACCCACGGGCCGTCCTGCACATCTGTCGACCAAAGATCTGAGAGTTGAGAGTTCCAATACCTGATAATTTTTATAAGTGTTGAGCCACGAAAGGGGATCTACTGACCGTAGATCGACCAATAATCTGTAGGTCAAGAGGTCGACAGAAACCATGTTTCAGTAGTTTATTTCCTTATTTTGTTTCCTATTTAATTTAGGATTTTTTTTCTATAAATAGGAGTTGTAATCCTCATTTTTGTGGGTTAGACATTAGTGTAAACTCTTAGTTTTTGTTTTGTTGGAATTATGTTGCAAACTTTTGGCAATTAAATTCTTAGATTTCGTTCTATACAATTTTTGCTTTGGATTTCAGTTCAAGATTGGGATTTTCATCTATTCTCATTGTAAGTTCATGAATTCTTCTAACCTAATTAAGAATTGTGAAGCATCAAACATGAGTAGCTAAATCGACAATTAGGATTGTGAGAACTGTGAGCAATTAACAACTTATGAATAATAATTACGTAATTCTTGAATAGTTTTTATGCATGTATTGTTAATCTTTTCTCTTAGAAGTCTTTTTAACGAGTGCACGCATTAGAACTCGCCTCATTCTTACTTGCCAGACTAAGGAGGTAATGAATGAGAAAAGTATTAAACAACAGAGATTTACTAGATGTTATCTAATAGTCTAATGTCAATTGGCGTCAGGGTGAAAACTAAATCATACATTGATGTGATGACTAATCTGGGGTAAAAGGTAAGGGATAGTAAAGCATACATCCGTAGCCAGAACAAGGTGCGAGGTGAAATTCTTATTTGGAGGACCAATCACCTAGGGATACCCAACTTATGAACTTTTAATGTTAAACACTAGGAAATGATTACTATTATTAGGATTACTGCGTTAATAGTTTATGGGGAACACATATGCCCTAGTTTTTAGGCCATATTGATAAACCAAAGTCCGAATTATGTTTACTTGTTACTTAAGCATTCAAATATGTTACTTACTTACAAACCTCCCCCCCCCTCTTTGTTTACTTTTCTCAGATATAGTTTGACTACACAGATATAATAGTGAGATAAATTTAAGTCTAAACCATATTATTCGTGGGATCGACCCCAACCTACAAGTTGGGTTCTTTATTTGACAACAATTGCTTATACTTCTTTAGGGATATGTAATTTGAGCATATCAAATTTTGGCGCCGCTACTGGGGAATATTGCTTTTAGATTAAGTTTAACTACGTTATTGAACTTTAGTTAAGTATTTCCTAATTATAAGTTTTTCTTTTGTTTTTGTTTTTTACAAGTTTCTACTCTAGTGTATGCCAAGTACACGGAGTGGAGGTGAATGTTTGACCCCCTACGATCTAAAATATAATAAGACATTGGGGAGAATGAACAACCAAGGGGTATAAAACAATCCAATCGGAGAGGGTCTAGGTGATGAAGTTGAATTGCAGCCTCCTGGGTTATTAATGTGCACGGTCATGTACATAGTGGTAATCTAATCGGAGATGTAAAGAGGGTGCAGAATCCCCCAACACCTAGGTTGGGTGATAACTATAGGGTTGAATACAATACGGTTGAATCAGAAGTGCCTATTGTTCATCCTCATCTACCTCTGGGGCATACATTTGTGGTGACCAGAAGTCTGATGCAGATGCTTACAACAAGAGAGTTGTTTTCTGGTCTAGCTTTGGAAGATCCACATGGTCACTTGGCTAAATTGAGAAGTGTCTGCAGGAGGTGTGTGGGACGACCAAAATGTGATATGGATGTTATAGTTTTGAGAGTCTTCCCTCTATCATTGACCAATTATGCTGCAGTTTGGTTTTCTGAGCTTCCATTCAATTCGATTCATACATGGGACCATTTGTATAAGGTGTTCATGGCGAAGTATTTTCTGGTGTCTAAGAAGCTAAATCACAAGGATAAACTGAATAACTTCATAGCACTACCTGGAGAGTTCCTGAGCAGTTCATGGGATAGGTTCGCTGCGTTTATCTGAAGTGTTCCGAATCACCTCATATATGATGAGTCATTTAAGGAGTATTTCTACCGAGGGCAGGATTATAATGGAAAGTATGTGCTAGATACTATTGTTGGACGATCATATGGTTAGTGCACTTTCGAGGAGATTGCTGAAAAGCTAGAGAAGATTTCCCGGAACAATAAGGCGTAAAGCACTAGAAAGGCAAATACTGGTAGAAGCAAATTTGCAGTCCAAACTGCACCTACTCAGTAAAATGATGATATGCATGAAGAGATGGCTAAATTAAGAAAAGAACTGGGGTAGGTATTGAAACATGTGAGTGGAAATGTAGAAAAGATGAATGTGGTAAACTACATAACTAGAACTCCACCACCACCAGTTGAGGAATGCTACTATGAGAAGGATTCATATTTGGTTAATGATCAGATGGGGGATTTTCGAACCAAAGCCCAAGGTTCAAACTTGGATAATTGGCGCCAAGGTCAAAGAAACCTAGGTTGGAACTATGGCAACCACAACTACGAGGTAAACTATGTTCAGGATGAACTACAATCGTGATAACAACTACAACAGGAACAACTATGGCAACATGATTTATCTAGTTGGGCCCTATGTTCCACCTAGTAATAGAGAATGTAGTAATAGAGAGGCTGGTAGTAGTATGTCACGCATTGAGGATATGATGCAGAAGATGATAAAGAGGTTTTATGCAACTAATGAGAATGTGAAAGAGATGCGAAATGACTTGTCTGGAATCGGTCAAAAAATTGATGCCCATGTAGTGTCGATCAAGCCACTTGAGCAACAATTTAGTCTGTTGTCCCTTACAGTGAATGTACATCACCCTAGCACACTCTCTAGCAACACCATCCTGAATCTGAAGAATGATTGGCATTGTATAGAAGTCACTACTTAGAGAGGTATACATACCATTGGTCCCCTATGTCGTCTGAGGTTTAAAGTGTGGTGAAAAAGATGTTGATGAGATTGAGGTTACTGGCGAGTCAAAAAATGCTACAAAGAAGGAAGCGGAGGTGACCCAAAAAGTTGTTCCCATGCCTAGACCTCCACCTCCATTTCCAAAGAGATTGGTTAAAAAGACCAAAAAAGGAAAATACCATAGGATCATAACTATGTTGAAACAACTTTCCATTAATGTTACGTTGTAAGAAGATTTGGAGCAAATGTCTGGGTATGCAAAATTTATGAAGGACTTGGTGACCAAAAAGAGGACTGTCAATTTTGAGGATGAAGAAAGGTTACAAAATTGCAGTGATATTGCTACTAGGTCACTTGTGCAAAAGAAAGAGGATCTTAGAGCTTTCACTATTCCTTCTACCATTGGGATGTTGCACTTTGCAAAGGCTTTGTGTGATTTGGGTGCCACCATTAATCTAATGACATTGTCGATCTACAAGAAGTTGGATTTAGGGGCTTCAAAAGTGACTGCGATGCGCCTACTCATGACTGATAGAATTGTGAAGAAGACTATTGGTGTTCTCCAAGATGTCCTTGTGAAAGTGGAGTCGTTCATTTTTTCAGCGGATTTTGTGTTACTTGATTATGAGGTTGATTTTGAGGTTTCCATCATCTTAGGGAGACCATGCCTTGCTACTGGGCTTGCCTTAGTCAATATGGAGATAGGGGAGATAAAGTTCTGACTAAATAATGACGAGGTAACTTTTAATATCTATAGGTCTATGAAGCAGGAAAGTAATCTCAAGTCGGTATCAGTGGGGAATCATATTGTTTAGCGAGGTTCTTAAGTGTCTATTCAAAAGAGGTTGGGTATTGATGCATTGGCAGCGGTAATGATGAATTTTGATGGTGATGGTATTGAATTCTATGATGAATTAGTTGTCGCACTTGATAGGTTCGAATTCTGTTCACAACCATAAAGATTGGAGTTAGAGATGAAGAATCGTGACTCTCCACCTGCAAAACCTTCTGTGGAAGAGCCTCCAAAATTGGAGCTCAAGGCTCTACAATCTCATTTAAGGTATGTATTCTTGGGGAAAGATGGCACTTTACCAGTAATCATTGTTGTTGATTTGAGTGAGGAACAAGTAGAGATATTGGTTTCTGTGTTGAATAGGTTCAAGCATGCTATTGGATGGGCTATTGCGGACATTATTAGGATTCCTCTCGGCATTTATTCTCATAAAATCCAACTTATGTCTGTAATAAAGCCCAATATTGAGCACCAAAAAAGACTTAATCCACATAAGCAAGAGATAGTGAAAAAGGAAATTATCAAATGGTTGCATGTTGGATTCATATACCCCATTACAGATAGTAGTTGGGTCTATCCTATTAAGTGTGTACCAAAGAAAGGTTGGATTATTGTGGTTCCTAATGCGAAAAATGAGTTGGCTCCAATGAGGCTAGTGACTGGATGGAGAGTATGCATGGACTACCACAAGGTAAATGCCTGGACAGAAAAATATCATTTTGCGATGTCGTTCATGGACCAGATGCTTGATCGTCTTACTGGTAAGGGTCAGTATTGTTTTCTAGATGGCTATTGGGGCTAAAATAAAATCTCCATATCTCCAGAAGATCAAGATAAAACCACATTCACTTGTCCATATGGGACTTTCGCCTTCAAAAGGATGCCATTTGGGTTGTGTAATGCTCCAGGGACTTTCCAGAGGTGTATGATGTCGATATTTTCAGATATGGTGGAGGAAATGATTGAGGTATTTATGGATGATTTCTCTGTGGTAGGTGACTCGTTTGATAGTTATTTGATACATATGGCCAAGGTACTAAAATGATTTAAAGCGTGCAATCTTATGCTCAATTAGGAAATGTACCACTTCATGGTGAAAGAGTGGATAGTTTAGGGTCATCGGATTTCGCAGAAAGGTGTTTAGGTTGGTAGAGCCAAATATGAGGTAATGAAAATCTTCCACCACTTATCTTTGTAAAAGGTGTTCGAAGTTTTCTTGGGCTTATAGGTTTCTACCAAAGGTTCATAAAAGATTTCTCGAAAATTGCACACCCATTGTGTAAGCTAATAGAAAAGGAGTGTAAGTTTTATTTTCATGATACTTGTCTGAGAGCATTTGGAGAATTGAAAGAAAGATTAGTATCAGCTCCTATCATTATTTTACCGGATTGGGGGCAACTTTTTGAAGTGACGTGTGATGCGATTGGGGTGGCGCTTGGTGTGGTATTGGGATAGAGGCAACAAAATATTCTTCATCCAATTTACTATGCTCAAAAGAACTATAATGTGACTGAACATGAACTCCTTGCTATGGTCATGGCCCGTCAGTTGACACTACACTAAAATTTTGTTAAGTTGTGAACCACGGTGTGGACTACGGTCCATCGTTCCATCAACAGACCTTTCTGCACATCCGTGGTTCCAATATGTGAGACCCAAAAATGGGCACCCTTAACATTTGAAGGGACCCACGGGCCGTCGTTCCATCGACATACCATAGGTCCAACACGCGGGTCACTAGTTTAGGTACTGTCTGAAAAAAAATTGGAGTGTTTGTGTGGGTCCGAATCTTGTTCTAAAATTAATCCATGAGTTTTATTTCCTTGTTTTGGTACTAACTATGCTTCCACAAGTACCATGGGTCCGAAACAGGCTCCCACCTACGCAAGAGGTGGAAAGTCCAAATCAGTCACCCCTTCTCGATGTTGATAGATGAGGAGAGTCATCATGAATACATCCCAGAGACTATCAAAGGCTCCCATACTGCCCTCCGGACCACGAGGAACAAGGCTAGCGGATACTTACATCCAGTGACGAGGTCGAGGTCACTGCCCCATAGTCTAAGGAGGGGTCACACATTCCAACTCTGAGTCGCAGTTCGACTCTAGTTCTAGTAGCAGCCCCGCTATTTCATTTGAAGGTAATAGCTCAGGAGACATACTGATACCTCCCAGATCTGAGCCTGTCCCTAATGCTGCAGAGTTGAAAATTGGGTGCATGGATGGCTAGTACCAGATATATAAGAATGGTACCATATTTAATTAACAACGGAAGATGGCCAGGACCATTACTGTGGAGCATAGGGTCCTTACAGGCAGCCTCCATAGTGCACCAGTTATGAAGGATTTTTTTCGGAGGCACAAATGTGAGTGGATGGCATGGGACCCCGAGAACTACAGTGAGGAGATGACCAGAGAGTTTTATGTTTCCTACGCTGCCACGGTCCGAAACTCCATATCCAAGAACGACAAGCCTCTAGCCCAGCCTCCACTTCAATCCACATTGGTGCGCAATTCCTTGGTTGACATCTCAGACGCCACCATTTGCCGTTTTATTTCCGGTCCAGCCCATACTCTACCAATTAATACAGTAGAGTATGACTACAGGATCGGGATCGTACTGAGTGGGGTATTTCAAAGGGATATCAGGCAGAGGGAGACACTTTTGAGATAGATGGCCCGACACATAGTTAAGGAGGGCAAGGGCACTGAATGGGTGAGGAACATGACATTGCCTATCAGAAAGGCAACTCTAAGCTTCGTAGCAAAGTTCTTCTTGTTTGTGGTTTGTAATAGATTGTCTCCTACTCAGGTGGACAATGTTGTCACTTGGGACCGGGCCGTGATGATTGCTGCTATTATGGCTGGTTTGGAGCTTGATTTCTCCTGCATCCTTATTGCCGAGATCCATGAGAGGGCCATTCGGACAACCACCACTCTACCTTTCCCGTTTCTCATATTCTATCTTTGTAGGAAGGCTTCAGTGACTATTTGGCATTGTGACAGGTAGCTTGAGGCGACAAATACATTGTATATCGGCCTCATTCGGGATAATGCCAATCTTGTTGCACCGCAAAGGGAGCCACAGGTTGACCTACCGCCCTTGGCTGTTGATATTGTTGTTAATGTGGAACATATCCATGTTGATGATACTGCAGTTCCTCCCACCACTACTGATGCACAGGTTCCACCTTCTACTGCCACCAGTCAGGCCTAGAGCTCATCCCGAGCCATTCCCTCTTCAAGATCCACTATCGTTCCTCTAGCCAGAGTCTAGAAGTTAGAGACCCAGATGGCCACTCTGGTGCAGCACATGAGGCCTTACATATTGCGTTCTGTTGGGGATTCTGAGGCTAGGATGGAGCAGATGATGGATAGGAAGATCCAAGCCATTCATAAGCTCCTGGATGCTTTTCAGTACCGAGTTATGGAGAGGCCTGCCCCAATTATTGATGCGGCCACCTTCCAGACGAAGTTGGCTAGCCTCTGTGCCGATGTTGATGCCCTCTTAGCCCCTACTGATATTGTGCCAGAGTCTACCCCTGCGGTATCGAATGATGAGGTGGTGATGACTCCTCTATTTTGCTATACTATGCCACCACCACACTCTTCCTTTGCTGCTGGGAAGCGCCCCCACTCTGCCCACACTTTCCATACTGAGCAGGCTCAACGATTGAGGAAGAAGGAGCGCCAGCAATTGGAGGCTGATTAACGTATCAACTACACCTCATCCAATACTAGGTGTAGACGATCAATAAACAGTATAAACCCAACAAATGAGTTGGGGTCGATTCCACAGGGAGCAGTTTGATTTTGAATTCAATTATGAAGTTACAACAGTGATTTCAATAGCCGAAGGAATAGAGATTATCAAAAACTTTTAATAAAATTAGAAAGGTTACAGCCATGTTAGGTAATCGGGTTTTGGATCAGAAAGCAACCACAATAATTACCTATGAGTAATCAAATAAGAGAAAGATACTTGGGGGATTGACCAACTAATTGCTAAACTTAACTCAATGGGTGTTAATAGATAACCAAAAGTACTAACTCTTCGTTAGTAAGATAAACTTTAGATGAGATAATTTTCTCTCGAACAACTACCTCGTTTCAATTGAGTTCTCTCGACCCTCAGAGCTCTAAACATGGAGACCAGCCCACAACCTTACTACACCCACTCTCTCGAGCTAGGCACATAGAATGAGTCTGGGATTCACTCTCACGAGCTGAATCCACAATGACCCAATGACTACGAGTGCCAATTTATCAACTTGGTTTTACACTTCTTTCTCAATCAAGCATAAAACACTAAATCATGCTGAAATAAACATACAACAGAGCAATTCAACCACAACAATAAATCAAACCCACTTTGAATTGGCACTACAATTGATAATAACACCCATTCAGCCAAATTCAACAATTAATCACAATGTAAAACCCCCAAGAATGGGGGTTTTAGCTAATCATCATAAAAGAAGAAAATTCAGTACTTAATACATGTTCTGTAGTTGGGTATTGATTTTCCAAGTCTAAAAATGAACAATACTTCTTTCTATTACAACACCCATTTCCAATCTCTAATGAAAATTGCTTAAACTCAGCAAGAATAGTGTTTTGTTCTCTCTATTTCATTCTACAATGACTAGATGCCTTCTCTCTCTTCCAAAAATCTATTTATATTGATGTGAGATTTAACTTTTTGGGGTTGGTCAGCGAGGAAAATCGGGCTTCGCCGACCAGTCTGCGATTCACCAATCGCCTTGTCCATCTCCTTCTTGCTTCCTATTTTTATCCAACGTGCAATGTAACTTTAAGCGGTCTATATCGGGATCGTCGATCACTTCCGTAATACGCCCTTTGTTCCTTTGGATTGCCTATTTGCTTGCATCTTTACTGCTCGTTTAGTGCTTTCAGTGGTATAATATCT